TCGAATAAACCTGTGAAATGATGTAAATAACACGAGAATCACAAAATAATTTCAAGATTGATTGCGAATTGACTTCATTTAGAAAAGCGTTGAAGACGAGGGAGCACTGGTCAGCTGTTTCGTCTTGACTGGGTCTCTCCAGGAGTACGTATCGATGCTCCCGTTAGGTATCGAAAGGCAGACCTTCAAGTTACAAGGCAAGCTTTCTGACTATTCAACTACTGTGATGGAATCATAAAGTGATGTTCAAAGAAGCATAAGAATATTAAACAGTATACTTTAATTTGAAATATTGTCATTCGACTGTAGATATCCACCCACAATGACTGTCGTTTAGGATCAGGAGGCAGAGTTACGCCTAGATTAGGGTTCCTTACTTCTATTCCTTTATCCAATCGTCATTATGGATATACTTCCTGTCAGTAATGATCGTTTATGATAAGCCAGATATGTGTTATGATTCTTTGTGTAATTTCTACGGAAAACAATAAAGCTGAATAGCTCGCTGATATAAGAATAGAATGCAAGGTATTGTGGTAGAATATAATTCCACTATAAAAAAACATGAAGTGATACAGTATTGTTTACTGGTGACATTTTTCGAGTCCATAACATAACCAGTTATTCACATAATTTTCAAACACTGTTTATATAGTTCCATTGTTTCTTATCTTTTTGTTTTATTGAAAGTAATGTTTTCCATATCTCTGGTATTGAGGTGAAACTTCACCACAGCTTTTCTTTTGATAACCGAAATTATTCAGATCACGTAAAATATGTAATCTGCTTGATGTCATGAACAGCGATTAGAAAAGCATTGATAATTTCATAATGCTTTATACTACTGGTTGACTTAAATAAGTAGCTAGAAGCCACTCTGAATTTCGGTGGGTTGAACTCATTTAACTCACTTAGCTGAATCAAATCAGGTACATCGCTGATGAGCTCGGCCACAAACGACAGAAATAGACATCTTGTGTTTAGATTATTCCAGTAATTTAACTAGCAAGCACTACTGTTTGGTGTGAGTGGTTAGGACATGTGTTACGTATGCATCTCTAGTCATCGCCCTCCTCGACCAGAAATCTAGGCAACTTCGTCTTGTAGTTAGTTACTAGTGGCCATCAGAATAATTTTCAAAAGTGAAGTGGTAGAGCACGTTGACCACTTCACTTACTTGGGAAGTACCATCAGCCCCAACGGGTTGATCTCCGACGAAATCACAGCACGAATACAGAGGGCTAGTTTCGCATTTGCCAGTTTACGCCGTCTCTGGCGTAGACGTGATACCCAGCTATCGACCAAAGGGCGTGTGTACTCCTCAGTAGTCCGCTCCGGCCTCCTTTATGGCTGTGAGCGAGACCTGGCAAATGAGAGCGGAAGACATGAAAAGATTAGCTGTCTTTGATCATAGGTGTCTGAGTTCTATCTCCCGTGTGAAGTAGTAAAATAGGGTGAGCAATATTGAGGTTAGGCTTCAGTCGAGCGCTAAGTAAGGAGGGAGGGAAAATCAATCGACGAGGCTGTGAAGCTACATCGACTAAGATGATTAGGACATGTGTTACGTATGCCTAGTCATCGCCTTCCTCGACCGATGGGCAATGTTAGCTGATATAGGGTCAGGCTGGAAAGGAGCTAGTGGCAGTCAAACGAAAACATGGCACCAGTCAATGAAATCCACAACAGTTAGTCTAAGCCAGCCACATAGGAAGGTGTAGACTTCCTGACTGGTTGGAGTCCTCGGGACGGTTAAAATCAATGGTTGGAAACAATTGGTAACATGGCTCAAAATGGTTCTCAGTGGCGCAGATGCATCCACTCCTTGTGACTCATGATTTCCAATGAAACTGTTTTGTTCTTCGTTATTACTATTCCTTTGTCTCACACCTCTATTTACTGTCTCTATTATGCATTTCTTCTAGTTTCTTCTCTTGCTTTGTGTGCTACATGGAGTGTGGTGACTTGAACTGCCGCATATCGGTGCAAAGTTCTATGTCGAAAACAGACAGACAGACAGAGACAGAGTGGTGTACTGCTACTCATCTCAGCTACTCAGTAGTACATAGTTCTATGTAAATTTGCTTGCTTTCTTGATTACCGTCGATGGTATCAGGCCGCCCGCATAGTGTGGTCTGAATAATTTGGTCTCCAAAGGAAACTGTGGTAAAAAACTTCACCCCTCGAACCGTGTACACCTTAAATTATGAATTTGATTTATAGCGGCAACATCTCTCCCAAGTAGCTAGCTAGAAATCCTGGGACTTGAGCCGATTCGGCTCTTTAAGCTAAGTTGAAACTGAGTTCATACCTGACGAACTCAACTCGCGAACGAGCGAAATGGCCACCTGGTGTTTAGATCACTTCTATATGAATAACGAACACTACTAGTTGATGTGAATGAGTAGTATAAAATTAATCAAATCAGTATCAGTTAGATACAGCAAGATGTATAGATCATACTTCAATATAAGGATATTTTTGGAACTATCTATGAATGACACAACTGCCTTCCCTGACGGTCTCAACTGTGATTGGTTGTCTTCGGATATCTTCTTATATCTGTGTTAATTTGTGCCACTATCGGTCGCTTTTTTTCGACCTAGTATTTAACGATTTGCAGCAGATATCATACAGGAACCAAAATAATCACTTCATTCATTATTATGCAGACAAATAGAACCAACGCCAAAGACCGCAAGATCAACACCATCCATAAGGTAAATTCCATCAGTTGTAATAAACAGTATACTGGTTAAAGTGAACAAATCGAAAAACACAAAGTAACCATCAAAGGATACAACATGTTCTCTTTCATGTCAATAAATATAGAGAATAATAATAATATTCATTTTATTCCAAACAATAATAATCACACAGATGATTACAAAATCCACTTTGGTTGGGAAAATGTCAAAATTTTAAACAGTAAAAATACTGAAACTGTCAGGTATTTCGTAGAAGCCTAGTACTCGGATCACTCTTCACTCAACAGACCCACTAACGCAGATCAAATCTATCCATCCACAAAGAACAAGTCCCATGCCATGAAGATTTAATTCCAGGTGAATTAAAAGATCCATACTAGCACAGACTAACATAAAGATAAGGAAACCCCCTGAAAACAACTAGTTGCAGTCATGATAATCAGCGGAGACAGTTCACATTGAAGTAAGTAAGCACTGAAGATGTTGTCTAGAACAGCAACATAATATTCGGGATTAAATCACCCAGCTCCAAGAACATAATCACAGCAAAAAAGTTATCTAACATCACTACAAATCTTCTGCAATACTTCTACTCACACTGAAACCTACAGAATATAATTTGATCAATTAACCGTATGCGATTTCAACGACATAACTATGAAGACGATTTATAGTTTTTAGTTTTAACCTTCAGTCAAGGAAAATCCTTTTTCCATAGTGAAATTTTCACTGATTTACATATATTACTCCTAATGTTTCGTACATATATATATATATCGCCGATGATATATGTCTGATTTTCCACAAACTGGAAGATATGCAAGCGAAAAGCAACAAGTTGGCAGAAGAAGCATCCAGAGAAGATAGGACTTCAGGTGAACATAGAGAAAACAGAGGTGATGAAGATTCCTGGCCAACACCACCAACAGCAACAACAGACAACAATCAGCCAGCATAAATGGGAGGAACCTGAAAGAAACAACCTCCTTCACCCACCTACCTACCTGGGAAGCATCGTTTCAACTACAGGCGGACGGAACTGACGAGGATATCAAAGCAAGACAAGCTTTCACTACTCTCAAGTCTGTGTGGAGGTCAACAGCACTCACCATCAAAAGTAAGATCCGGATTTTCAACTCCAATGTGAAGTCAGTGCTACTTAACATACGGATCAGAGACTTGCACTGCGCGTCATAAAGAGCATCTCAAACAAACTACAGACTTTCATAACAGTTGTCTTCGCTCAATACCACTCAAGATCAGATGGCCAGCCAGAAAAGATCAGCAACAGGGTGTGGTCTCTGGCAATGAGCGAACCAACACAGCAGGAACCGATTGTGAAACAAATAGGCAGGAAGAAATGGAGATGGATTGGCTGGCCATACTCTGAGGAAACAAACCATCAAGTGACATCACTAGACATAACTAGCAATCACTCGAGTGGAACCCGAAAGGGAAGCGGCGAGTTGGTCGTCAGTGCAAGGGTAACTTGGAGGAGGTCATGTGAAGAGGAGATGAAAGCGTGTGGGCAGACATGGAGCCAGGTGAAGACTCTAGCAGAGAAGCGAACGCAATAGAGACGCACGGCTGAAGCCCTATGTTCCTCTAGGAATTAAAGGAAACAATAATAATAATAATATATATCACAACAAAATTAATGATCACTGTAGTAATCAGTCAAGCCACTTTCTTTATTCAAAATTATTTCTGACATTGAACATTGACTCCTACCATACTTTTGTTTAAAAAATAGAATTGATGTCTTCGCTCCCTCCAGATTCTTTTATTACTATTGATTTCTGTACTTATACTGCAATGAATGGACACTTCATTGAATTATACATACAAAAGACAATACAAATATGTTTAAACCACAAAAGTAGGGGAGTTCAACTATTGAAATTTCTGGGCAATCTATTTATTATCATAACTGAATTTTGTTTAAATTATATGTGTTGTTCTACATTATTTGTACATGCATTTAATTGTTTCCATAGTCAAGAGAAAAAAACAACAACAGAATGACCAGTTAACCATTTCATGTTGATGAATGTATGTATAAGTGTACTTATTCCATACATTCCTATCAGGGATGAATATTTATTTTCTAAACAATATCTTTAACACAAACAAGGCAATAATATTTATTGTCATATATTAATTATAACAATTAATTCAATACAATTGGAACATTGATCAGTGGTTATTTTCATTATTATTATTATTGTTATTTTATCCATCCATCTCTCTTATTCACATACTTCCTTCTTAAGAGTGAAATGCTCAGAAGTACCAATAAGAAATAATGGAGGACGATAAGAAAAATAAACAATACTTTTACATTCATTCACATGATATATATTTGTTCTAAAAGATGTATATATATTTTGAGGGAGATATGAATTCGCTTTTTTAAACCGTCGTCTCAGTCGGTTCAATTAATATTGAATTAAAAAAGGAGTCCATTAAAAGTCAATTAAATGTAAGTCAAATCTTTGTGAATACTGTTAAAAGTTAAACAAAAGTAATCATAAGATGTAATCTCTTCTTCTTCCCAATATTATTATTATTATTTACTTTATTCCAAAAACAGTACTTATAATACAGAATGGAATTCTCAGTATTTGTCACAATATTGCATCTGATTTACTCAAAATATATATAAAATTAAAAATTAAAACAAAATTAATCGGAGGAATTTGTCCACATTTACGACATAAAGTCAAAAATATTCGAAGCACGAATTGAGATTATTAAATATAATAATAATAATAATAACAATAATAACAGTGAGTTTGTTTCAAACGGTATTGTCGATTCAGTTTGGAAACTTTAGCATGTTATAGATTATTGGATCTAATGTTCTGTTGATATAGTATAGTGAGGGGAAATACAAAATTAACAGTTATAATACAGCTTAAATTATGTCCACACTTATGAAAAAAATAAACAAAACGAAAAAATTGAGAGGATTATAAATATAAGAAATACAATAACAATAAAGTTTGATGCTTTAAGGGTGAAGGAAATGGTTTATTTAGTGGTGCTAAGATGGTTAGTTAGTTCATGCCTGACACTATTTTCATCACATAAAGTACGTGCTAAATATGGTATAGTGGAATTTTTATACTTAGACGTACGTGCATAAATTCTTCTGAACAGACTTCTTGTTTTACCTGAGGAGACACAAGGTTGGAGCTGTGGGTAGAGTGGGTGCTCAGAGTCTGACAAAATTCCTTTAGCGAATTTGTTGCATGACATCAAGTGCCTATCAGTGACAATATCAACGATATGGCCCAATGGGATACCACTCGTCCTACTGACAGTCTTCAGAGTTCTACGAAGTATGACATAGTCCTTTTTAAGCAATCCAGGAAAGAATAATGGTGAACAGTAAAGAAGAATAGGTAAAATACACGAGTTGATAAACTGTAAGAGGAGTGGTTGAGTTATGCCTGAGTGCCTTAACTTCTTAATGTAAAAAGTCAAACGAAATATTCTTTTAGAAATCGCTAAGACATGGGAGGACCAGGATAGGTCAGAAGAGAGAATTAATCCAAGATACTTAACTTCAGACTTGGTTTCTATATCAGTATCATCGATTTTGCAAGGGTCATAGGAACCAACGGCTTCATTTAACTTTCGTTTACATCGGAAACTGAAATTAACAGTCTGACATTTGGAAGGATTAAGTTTAAGGCCGTTAGACGAAGACCATTTGCTAATTTCTGATAGAAAGTTGTTTATCTTAGTGCAGTCAAGCTGAGAGTTAACAGACATTGAAATAGTTAGATCATCGGCATACTTAACAAAGTTCATTTCATTATTATTATTATTGGTATTAGCAGTAGTAGTATCACTTTAAGTTACACCACCAACTGATATCATTTAAACAACCATTGTAAACCAGAGAGTACTGGACAGATTTTTCATCCTAATTCGTGATCGTTCAGCAGTATTCATCCTTAAATCCACCGGAGATCGGACCCAAGGCTTTCGGGTGACTATTCGAGCCTAGTGACTATTCATTCAATGGAGTGGCATCAAGCCTCCCAATTTCGTCGGTAAGTATTTTTACTCGTATCTGACTTCATGGACTACATTGGCCACGACTTCCAGATGGAACTACAAGCAGCTGCATCATGTAGTCAGTCACTAGAAAAGCTCGTATGCTGAATGTTCTGAGTGGGTAGTGATGAAGACTCCTAGATTAAGATGAGCTAGCTGTCCAATACTGTCTGGTTTCCAGGGGTTCTATAACTGATGTTAGTTCGTGATCTAACATATCATTACTGCTACCATTTCCTTTGCTTTCCAAGTGGTAAATAGAGCCTCAGCAACACAATTCCATAGTACTCAAATCTCTACCGTAACAGTGAGTTGCCATCACAGTTGTCCACAAGCTTTCATTTCGTCCACAAATAATCTTCTTTATGTCTTCAGGCCAACAGTAAATAGGTGTGTTGTGACTGAGATAATACTGGATTTGGGTTTGTTCTAATAATACTTCGACACAAAGTAGTAAGTAATGTACGCCTGATTACTCGGTTACTAATCACAAACTAAAAATACTAAAGATTAATTGCTCCGCAGAAAAAGCAGTATGACTACAAATTACAGGTAATTATAGACAGTTATTTCAGAGGAACCAAAAAATTCCAAGTGTGAAATACATAAAAATATTTTCTTAGTAGATAGCGTGACGTCACACTTAATTTATGTCAGAGTCAAATATATGGTTCAGCAAAGATATCTTTTCGGCGATTTCATTTTCAAAAGCTGTACAATCGCATTCAAATACATAATTTTACATGGAGACAATTCTTGTTTGATTCTACATAATTACGACGGCGAATAAAAGGTGATAATTATTTCCAACTAGATATGGTTTATACGAGAGACTTAGAAACAAAATTACACAGGATTAGAACGGATATCAAGTGTGTAAAAATGAGCATGGAAACAAAATTGAAATAATAATTTTCAACTTGAGATGTGAATTAGGAGGTGTGGATATAGATTACAAGAGCCTTAGAAACACAAAAATTGCACAGGATTAAGATATATATGTAAAATAGTTAATTTTTTTATTATTAAACGAATTATAAATGTGAACAGGAAAAGCATGGAAACAAACTTAAAATAACTGTTTTAATAACTGAAAAAATGGGGTGAATCGAATGAAGACTGAGGGAGTAAGAATCACACGCACAGCGAACGAAAAAGGATCAAAAAGGAAAAAGAGAAGGGAAGAAGAAAAAAACAAAAACGGAAGCTAAGGTAACATACCGAACTAGTTCCATGGTAGTTGTAGAGGTTGGACTAATTTCTTTTGAACACACAGCTCCGGCTTCTCGATGCATATTTCGAGGGCTTCTGCAGTACAGAGAAGTCGGAAACAAACTGCTTTCGGTAGGTTTCTGTTGACTTTGTAAATTACTTTGAACGAATCAGTTGAGATGTTGTGGGAGGTGTTGATCAGATGTTCAATAATGGCACTTCTGAATGAACCGGTTCCTCCTCTTTGTAGACACGCTGGGTAATGTTCTCTAACACGTTTTGAAAGGACACGCATACAACGACCTATGTACCTATCTCCACATGAGCAGGTGAACTGGTATATGCACATTGAATTGGTCATATGCGAGAGTTTGTCCTTCGTGTTGTTTCGAAGTATTGTACGGCTGGAGAATGTCACTGTTAGTGCTGCTGCAGGGAAGGTCTTCTTTAAAGAGCTGCATATTCCCCTCTTCAGGATGTCGGCTACCAAACACACACACACACCTGTAATTCGTTGTAATCCCGTATAATTTCTAAGTCTCTTGTAATCTATATCCACACCTCCTAATTCACATCTCAAGTTGAAAATTATTACTTCAATTTTGTTTCCATGCTCACTTTTACACACTTGATATCCGTTCTAATCCTGTGTAATTTTGTTTCTAATCCTCTCATAAAAACCATATCTAGTTGGAAATAATTATCACCTTGTATTCGCTGTCGTAATTATGTAGAATCAAACAAGAATTGTCTCCATGTAAAATTATGTATTTGAATGCGATTGTACAGCTTTTGAAAATGAAATCGCCGAAAAGATATCTTTGCTGAACTTCGTGTTCTCTTCTTTCTAATGTCCATATGGGTGTTTTCCACGATCTGAAATATATGGTTTACAGATCACGTGGGGAGCACTGACTCATAATATATCTTCTCCTGTCCCTAACCGATGCTTCTCATTCGTTATTCAGTAGATAGTCTCGCGTGTTTTTTCACTTTGAATTCTCCTCATTGTACGTCTAATCCATCTGCATGTCTGACGAGATATCTGATCTTCAGCATAGAGTGAAGACAAAAGTTGTCGAAGGTCTACAGCAATCTGTGCCTAATTGAGTTTGAGGTATAAGTATCTTTAAAATGGAACAGAAATACTTACTCATACCATTTAACATTGAACGCCTTATTTAGCCCACATGTTGGTCATAATTATACACAATAATAACATAAGTGTAACCATAAGACTTGCGACTCGAATGTAAAACGCAATTTTTGTAGAGATTTCAATAATATTTTAGTAAGTACTTGAAAAAGTCACTGCTAATGTTAAAAACTATGGCGTCTAAACTTTATCCAGACTGAAAATGACTTTCAGTCAACGGTGATCGATAAATCAAAGTGAATGAAAATGACTTTAACGTAAATCCACATTTTGAAATGCAAATATTTGTTACCTTCCACTGACCTTAAGCAATTCACTTGAAAATGCAATAGAAACACTTAAGATGCTGCTACTGTACTGCGCTATTACATTACTTCCAATCTAGATGAAGATGCAAAGTTTGTTAGGCCCTTCTCCTTTTTAAACTGTACTACTGCTTTTGATTCTATTTCTAGGAAACTTTCACTCAGCAAACTGAATTCGGTAGGCACTGAGTCTTGAATGACGAGATGGTTGTCTTCCTATTTTTCAGGTAGGAAATAACACACCGTTTTGAATACGAAGTGCTCCACTTATTTGCTTAAGGGAGATGTTGTGCTTCAGGGTGCTGTACTTTCTCCATTTCTTTTTTCGTTCTTTTTGTATGACCTACAGTATTCTTCTGAAGCTAATTTGATCAAATATGCTGATTACGTGACAACTCTTGTCTCGGTTGTTTCTGCATTAGATTCTTCTGATATGAATATTTTCCTGCCAGAGGTTAATCACTGGTCTTATTCAAATGGTCATAAACTGAACACTTCTAAATGTTACAGTGTAAATGTTAGTTTCAGGCGTAAACAAGACTTGCGTGGACTGATTCACTCCCATGGTTCTTGTAACATCGACGGCGCTGCGATAGGAAATAAGTAGAATATTACCATCTCTTGGTATCTCATTTTCTCTTTCAATCTTTGTTGGTCATCTCGTATCCTGTTGATTTCTAAGAAAATCTTTCCTTTGATTTATTACATAAATAAGTTGAGAATTTCTGGCATAAGTCAACC